TGGTTGCAAGTGCATTTGCACTGTAGCTGTACTGAACTCATTTGCATTAATCTTGTCATGTTATGTGTTCACAGAACACTTGAAATTGAACAGTGAGCACGTTACAGTTCATCAACCTTGTACCGAAAATTCCGCTCAACGGTGGTCAGCGAATACCGTTTCATTCGTTGATTGGTGAGATTCGTTTCGAGAATGTCACATTCGCATATCCGACTCGACCCGAGCAAATGATCTTGGAGGGCTTGCATCTGACCGTCGAACCGGGCCAGGTGTTAGCAATTTGTGGACCAAGTGGAGAAGGTTCCTAATCAATTCCGTTCTCTTGGCAAACGCTTGGATTTTACCAACTGCTGTGATGTATCTGTAATATACCGTAACGATTGATTGCAAAAAATTTTCATATAGCTGTCATCTAAAAGTTTTAACTTCAAAATACGGAACAGCGACCCAAGTTCCTGACTGATGAAGTGTTGGTGTAATGAATGTGAAATATGTTTTACTTATGAGGATAAGCTAATTACTTTTTCTATTCTCTCGTGTTTTGTGGAACTCGATAAGATCATATTGTAATTCTGCAGGTAAAACAACAATAACTTCATTGCTGGAACGTTTTTATGAGCCTTTGTTCGGTCGAATCACATTAGATGGAAAAGACCTGAAAACGTTGGATCCGAATTGGCTTCGCGGTTCCGTGATTGGCTTCATTTCTCAAGAACCGATTCTTTTCGCCACAACAATTGAGGAGAACATTCGATATGGGAAACCGGATGCTACTGACCAAGAAGTGAATCTTTGAAAACGATTGCTTCATAGCGTAACAATTTAATCGCAAATTGACTCTCATTCAAGATGATTAGAATGTAGATGAAATAGAAAATCCCAGCTTTGACCGTGCAGAAAGACTAAGCAAATAATAAAAAAAAACTTTAATTATATCACATCATTATTCAGAAGTGATTCATCGTCATTGATGCCATTAACAAAGGCTGAATGGATCAGGACTAATATTTTATTTCAGCCTATTGAATGGCATAAAGCGAATAGTTATAGGTTCGTGAAGCTGCTCACTTAGCAAATGCCGACACATTTGTGGAAGAGTTTCCGGATGGCTATGAAACTGTCGTTGGTGAACGAGGAGTGACGTTGAGCGGTGGTCAAAAACAACGAATTGCTATTGCAAGAGCACTGCTCAAGAATCCACCCATACTGGTTTTAGACGAGGCGACTAGTGCGCTCGATGCAGAATCTGAGCATATTGTAGGTTTTTGTCGATTTGTTCCAGCGAATTATCGAAATTTTCTCAATTTTGTGGGAAGTTCAACGGAAGCTTATGAAATGTGTAATGAAAGTCAAGATTTGTTCAATAAATCTGTTCGTCAAGCGTGCCATTATTCATTTGATTTAATTGTATGTACTATAGGTTCACGAAGCGTTAGAGCGTGCGATGCAAGGTCGGACTGTAATCGTGATCGCACATCGACTGAGCACAATTCAAAACGCCGATCGTATTGTTGTACTTAAGGGACATAAAATTGTTGAGGTATGCTCATAAAAGTGATCATATCTTAATGGGTTCACTTTTGTTAACGTTTCGTTTCCTGTTCGTTAACGTATTTTCAGTTTTGCACTCAAAAAATTCATTATTTTGCGTTAATGAAGTTGACATTGTAGAGAGTTAATGGTATTCATTGCGCGACAATCGCTTTCTTTGAAAGATTCATACGTTTTCCCATAATTTTTTTTGTTTCAGCAAGGAACCCATTCGCAATTACTGAAAAGGAAAGGTGAATATTATAATTTGACAAAACTACAGAACCAACCGTTGTGAATGTTACGGTGTCTCATTTATGACGAGACAGAAGCTTAGGTTCTAATGTAGTGCATCAATGTGTATTAAAGTGCATCTTTTAGCGCTGTTTGATTGGAATTCACAGTTAACGAACAAAATCATTGGCAAACAAATTAGAGTTTGAATCCATTGTAATGACGATATTGTGTGAAGTGCACAATAAATATAATAGAATTAATTCAGTACATTGTGTGATTTTATGATTCGATTTTGTTAATTGTTGTTTGAAATTAAATCACCTTACTATTGATATCGAATTCTGCGTCACATAGATTTGTTTTTGCAGAAAACTATAGTTATGATTACTTGTATTTTCACTGCCTTATTATGTCTTTCGTGGTCACGCCCTGACAATGCTTACTTCTGTGTTACAATAAAACACATCGTTGTTGTTTTCATTGACAGGCAATAGAAACGTTATGAACAAAACATTCAATCAAGGAAAAAGTGGCGTACCCAAGGGGGCGCTCACCCTCTCCACCCTGGAGTTTGGAAGTAGGTGAAAAAGAAGTAGGCAAAAGAATGAAAAAAAAAGGACGAATGGGAGAAGGAAAAACAAGAAAACGCAGAAAAAGCCTAAGCCTCAACATTCAACTTATTTTCTGCACCAATCAACCCTCCTCTTCTAGCTAAACCACTTCAGAGAAATCAGATTTTCG